ATAGGATGAATATGGAAGAGAGAACTTTGACATTACAGTTAACAATATTAAATAACAATAGGATGAATATGGAAGAGCGAAGTTTGACATTACAGTTAACAATATTAAATAACAATAGGATGAATATGGAAGAGAGAAGTTTGGCATTACAGTTAACAATATTAAATAACAATAGGATGAATATGGAAGAGAGAAGTTTGGCATTACAGTTAACAATATTAAATAACAATAGGATGAATATGGAAGAGAGAAGTTTGGCATTACAGTTAACAATACTAAATAACAATAGGATGAAGAGGAGACAGTGCTTTTAGTCAGATAAGGTAAAACAAATACCTTCGATCCATCTCAAGATAAAGTTTTTCAGCTTCATCAAACTGCCTGAAGTAGAGAGCTACCTCTGCTTTTCTCAGATTTTCATTCTGAAACAAAGAAAAACAATGAGCTATTAATCACTGGTTCTATTGTAAACAGTAGATCGTTAACAAACTTGTAACTAGATGCTTATTCTATGATCAATAAACCATTTAATGTTATATGTCATACACAAGACCTACACCTGCTCTGATCTAAACTTGTATAAACAATTTAAATAAAGTAACTAAGTCAGAAAAAAAGGTCTACCTGTAGGTTAGAGACTCTCTTCACCAGCTCAATTCCTTGGTAATCTTTACAACGAACATAGGCTGTTTCGGCAGTGGAAAAGTCTAATTTTTTAAGGGCTGCCTCAGCTAAGAGATGCCTGAGAACAAAATTTATGAATCAACAGCATTACTGAAAAATAATGAAACTAAATTAGAATGACCTCAAGAGCTGAAATGTTATTCTTAACCTGAAAACAGCAAACTTCATAATACTAACTCATAGCTTTTGGTGAAAGTTGCCTTCTAACAAGATCTTGAAGAATTTCTCAATAATGTGCTTTGGTTATGGTAGGTAATTCAAGGAAAAAATAAAGTGTTACTGTTTCTTATTTGTAGAAGGTTTAAGAGGAAAGACCACAACATAATGAACTAATTCATCACAATACCAGAAAACTCTGACTTCACTGTTCTGAAAAATGAAATGGTCTTTCCTTTTACTCCCGATCAACATTCAAATATCTTTTCTTGAATTATGAATAACACGAATGGATTGAAATATTTAATTAAATTATCTCAAAATAAACCTTCATTTCGGTGCAAGATTGAAATTAGCTTGAATTCTTCATAACCTCTGAATAGTGGGTGACCCAATGGGTCACGATTTGTCTAGTTATTATTAATCTTAAAACAGAAAACTTCATAACACTAACCACAGCTTTGGGTGAGAGTTGTCTCCTATAAACTGACTGTATTATTATCATTATTAATTTTAAAACAGAAAACTTCATAACACTAACCACAGCTTGGGGTGAGAGTTCTCTCCTATAAACTGACTGTATTATTATCAGTATTAATTTTAAAACAGAAAACTTCATAATACTAACCACAGCTTGGGGTGAGAGTTGTCTTCTATAAACTGAGAAGCTTCAACAATGCCAACTTTTTCCAGAAGATCTTTAGAGTCCCGAAGTGACTAAAAAACATTTCGTAAAAAATCTTCAAAAACAAACATACTGAAACAAGATTGTATAGAGATTCTATTTTGACATGATGTATGTCAAGTAAACGTTGTAAACGGAACTAATAAAATCACAAGATGCTAAGAATTTGGATATGGTCTACACAATCAAAGACTCATTTCCAAATGGGGCCTCTTAAATTAATAGCAATCTTTGATATTTGTGTAAAATATTAGAGTTCCTTCATTTTACCTAAACTTCAAGTCTCATGTTTAATTTTCTGTATCTTAACTGAACCTTAAGTCATGTATTTGATTTTCTTACTTTGACCTCGTTGTTGATTAGATATTCTAGAGCTGGACTATCTGGATTCTCCATCAGCTCATCCAACAACACAGCTTTCACTTGGAGATCTACAAAGGCATACATGTATCCACTACACATCACAGGTTCCTGTAACAAAAGAGAAACTGGTATACTTTGTTATACAATAATGGAACATTCATTTCACACAGATCAACTACCTAGTCATAAAAATTCACAAAAATCAACTACCAATTCATAACAATTCACACAGATCAACTACCAATTTATAAGAGTTCAAAGAGATCAACTACCAACTTATAATAGTTCAAATACCAAGTCATAACAGTTCACAGAGATTAACTACCTAGTCATAAAAGTTATAGTACTAAATGTTTTATAAATTTAAACGTTATTGAGATCTTTAGGTTTATATTTCACATGAAACCTTTCTCTATTTGATATCATTGCTTGTCTTTACATATAATTCTTATAATTTTTATTTTATCATTCAAAAATCTCACAATCTTTATTTCGTTGTTTATGTCTTCAAACATAACACTTATAAAATACTCATTAAAGACTGTATCTTTGTTCACCATAATGTGAATCTACAACTGTTTGGTAACATCTTAACTTTACTGATATCAATGTTTGATGATAAAAATAATTGTTCAGTTAACATTACCTCTGGATCCAAATCTCTAAAGATATACATTCTAGTTTTCTCCATGAAGGCAAACATTTCACTGTTGTCCTGTAACCAACAGAATTTAATGGAAACTTTAACGGTAACAAAACACTTAAACGCACACTTACAAAAATTCTGTTAGTAACACTTCTTTTTTACTTGCAATGATATTTTGATAAATTAATATTCTTAATATTATGGAATGAATCCCAAATTACATTAAAAAAAAGTCTTACTTTAGCATAGAGCTACATGACTGGTTATCCAAGCTCTATCCATCACAGTTAAAATATGTCAGACTGTTTAAAACATCATTATAAATAATTGTTTTGTCTTACAGTACCTGCTGTAGTGTGGTTAAAGCTCCAAAAATCCCGAGAGATACGTATGTACCTTATTTTGAGATCTTTTTAACTTTCTCGCACCTACTGGACAAAGTTTTCCTACGAGGAGAACTCAAAATGCAACAACTTACAGAAGCCCACACTACATCCCAGACGTCTTTTCTTTCAAATGGTAGTTTCTCTCCTAGCACTTCTTTTCCCGCTGGACCTACAGATTTGGTCTCCAAGTCAAACAGAGCCAACATTCCCAAGATGTCTATAATGGATATTCGACTGAATAAAAAGACAATCAACATTTATTTGTTAATGTCTTTGGTAATAATGATGGTATTCGTGTATTTTAAACATACAAATATAATATTCATACTATGAAACTTATAAAAAAAAAACAACATCTGACTTTTGAATAACAGCAGAAACATGACTAGAACTTAAATTCAGTTGTTGTTTTTCAACAATCTGTAATTAACAGAAAGTTCTATTTGTGTACTCACCTTGAATTGCTGTTCAGGGCTATTTTAACTGGATGGCAGGCCACATTATATTTGTGTGTCAGAGCCAAAAGAGGTAAGGCATATCTTTGAAATGTCCCAGATTCTCGACCCTAAACAATCATGGATTAGAGTAAACCATTATATGTGTGTGTACAGAAAGAAACTGAAAAAAAAAAATGCCAAATAGGTAGACATAGACAAAGAAACTACAAATATGTAGATGTAGACAACGAAACTACAAATATGTAGATACAGACAACGAAACTACAAATAGGTAGATACAGACAACGAAACTACAAATACGTAGATGTAGACAACAAAACTACAAATACGTAGATGTAGACAACGAAACTACAAATACGTAGATGTAGACAAAGAAACTACAAATACGTAGATGTAGACAAAGAAACTACAAATACGTAGATGTAGACAAAGAAACTACAAATACGTAGATGTAGACAAAGAAACTACAAACAAGTAGATGTAGACAAAGAAACTACAAATACGTAGATGTAGACAAAGAAACTATAAACATGTAGATGTAGACAAAGAAACTACAAATACGTAGATGTAGACAAAGAAAATTCTCAGTTTGTGTATCAGTGCTTTTAATAAAATAAAGTTGAGGAAAAAAAATAAGCTTTACTAGTAAATTTCAACATGATATTAATGTAATTATATAATTAAAAATATTCCCATACTTACAATAATAAGCATTTTTTCCGAGGAAGTAATGCAAGATATTGGATCAGTTGTAGGCTGACAAAAATAAAGAAAACACAGTTTAACAGAAACAAGAAATACATTGCAACAAGTTACAAGTTCATTCGATAAAAATCACTTAAATTTCTTAAATATACAAATTTCTAATATTAAAAACATGTTAGAAAACTATTAAATCAGAAGGTTTTACACAAACACATGACGCAGTACTAGAGCAATCGATAAACATGACGCAATACTAGAGCAATCGATAAACATGACGCAATACTAGAGTAAGCGATAAACATGACGCAATACTAGAGCAATCTATAAACATGACGCAATACTAGAGCATTCGATAAACATGACGCAATACTAGAATAATCGATAAACATGACGCAATACTAGAGCAATCTATAAACATGACGCAATACTAGAGCATTCGATAAACATGAAGCAATACTAGAACATTCGATAAACATGAAGCAATACTAGAACATTCGATAAACATAAAGCAATACTAGAGCATTCCATAAACCTAATACAATACTAGAACATTCCATAAACTTAACACAATACTAAAGTGTTCCATAAAAATAACACAATATTACTCAAGAGCTTGTACATTGTAAAAACTGAACATTAACCCTTAGAAATGGATAATACTTTGATAATTAGTCAAAATCAAAGTACTCATTGAAAATTGAATAACATCAACTAAAGAGATAAACACTCCTTACCTGGCGTCTTTTTCTCTGTTGTACGTTTTCAAAATACATGAAATAGAAAAATATTAATACAATATTAGAAATATATAAAATGAAAAGCAGCAAAGGCTGGTTTATTACACATTTCTATCATCTTTACATTACTTTTACTCACAATGATAAGAGGATTCCATTTTATGGCCTACTTTATCATTTCACAAATACACTGAGCTTAGAACATTTAATGGCAGTCCTATTATCAAAACTGCTAATCACTTAATGACTAAACATTTACTAATTTTGTGCCAGATCTTCACAAATATACACTTTTAAAAGGTTTCAGTAATTTAAAATCAATGTATCATTCAACTAATGGATAAATACACAGTTATCACCTGTAAAGACTGAAAAAACAACAAAAGAAATTCTGTAACACTTAAAGAGTTTAAGTAAAAACAAAAAAAAAGCCAACACACACACACACAAATACACAGCATGCATAAATAAGCCTAATCCTTCAAGAAAATGTTGCAAACATGAGAATAAAAAAAGATGAAACTTACTTCAAAAGCTCTTTGAATGTCCATTCCAGCATCAGCTGTGCCAGATGGTGTTTCATCAATATGATACAATCTAAAAGGCAAACATACATGCTGAAGTCAAATAAAAATACTTTCACATATTTTAGAGAAGAAAAAGACACGAATGAAAGCATTATATAAATACTTCTTTAAGAAGCACATTTCAAAGAGCCTATATGATAACTATAACCTATACAAAAATTGTGAATAAATAGAGTTGTTTAAACATTTGTTTAACAACAAGTAAAAGTTTGGAATGGTCTATTCTTTCACTGGGTTGTGTGTCTGTGAGCCAGATTAGTTTCGGAGAACTCCACTCCTCATTAGTGACCCTGGACACCACCACCAATGAAATATCGGACCAAATCAAGCCTTTATAGTAGCGAGGTATCGAAAATTGAACTGGTCAACAAACCGTTCCTGCCCAGACTTGGATTTTTGAGATCCAAGTTCTACTACTGTTCTTCCCTTTGGAGTTCTGAAGTGCCACATGTAGATAGTCTCTCGTGACGTGGCAATGACATATGTGCTTGTCATAGTGACAAAACAGAGTTCCATTTCAACATATCTCGAGTCCACGGGAGTTCCGATGGCATTGCACAAAATTAGTGCATACTGTAACAGATGAAAAAAACAAACTTATTGATATACAAAGAAAAGTGATAATACTCTAAGGTACAAAGAGAAATTTATGTGTAAGTTTCTATTAACCCTTTCCACATGGGTCATGGGTCAAAGGCCATGTCATCGCATTCAAAATTTTATTGAACTACTATTTCATGAATTTATGTCAAAAAGTTTGGTATCAAACTGTAGATTATAATTCAAATTTTAGTATTATACATTATTTAATTTCTTAATTTAAAAGTAAATATTAAAAAACACAGATAATCATCAATTTTTGTGTATGTCACGTGGTATGTTGAATGCAACATTGGTTCAAATTCGATGTTTGTGATGCCAAAATACCAAGTCTATAGTGTTGTACAATTAGGGACTCAAATTACCAATATTGACAAGCTAGAATATAAAATAAGAACCTCATATCTTTTCTATTTGCTGAGATATCGCTCATGTACTGAATTAAACGTTGGCCCCGCTTACCTCTTACCATTTTTAAAATGGTCCCTT